AGCTAAGATACCATGACTGCGTAGCAGGACCTGCAGACTGGAAGCTATTTTAAGAAAGCTACTAATGGAAGAAGAACCAAATCTAGAGCAATTTCTTTTCAGGATGTAAATGTGTTTCACATCCTCAAAGTCACATTAAATATCTTAGAACTGGCTGTTATTCCATGTGAGTTAATGAAGCCACATGTGGCTGGGGATAGAGACAGGGATCATTTGAAAAGCTTGAAATAACTGGTATTGAAATTATGATGCCACAAAACCCAAGATACTGTGAGTGGATGCATCAAAAGAGAGAATAGGGGCAATATCAATGCAATATTGATGTGACTGATGCATCACAGTTTCTAATAGAAATTAAATCACATCAAAAACAACCACATTCAAGTACAAAAGGAAACCCTGGTGGCACTTTTCAGATGAGGCATTTTATCATTATGGTGAATAGAAAAGAAGTTGAAGTGCTATAGAACTGGATCAAAACCTTGGAGATGGTACTGATGACTTTTGATACAAATAAGCCCAGTAGGATAAAACATTTATTATTGCAGTTGTGGGACTGCGTTTAAGAAACTGCAGGGGGAAATGACTGTTTTGTTCTTTTCTTTTCAACACAGAAATTGTATAAAACATCTTGGGAACAGACAAGGGTATCTGGCTATGATTTTAGGATTGACGCCATCCCATTCCAAACAGCAAAGGCTTCAAGAGAGATTGCTAGTGATGTAAGAATCGTTCTGTTTCAAACACTTCCCAACCCTCTTCCCATGCCACCCCATCCTGCAAAAATGGGTGAATTCTGACGTAAGTGAGCTTTGTTCTGGTGTGGAAAACTGGTCACCCAGTGAAACCAAGTGCTGGTTAAGTGCAAAGATTTCCAACTAAAGGCTTCCATTAATAATGTCCAATACCAGGCTGCTCTGTTTCATGTCCCAAGACTTTTTCTTGGAAAGGAGCCATATTAAGATATAGTTAAATAGAATAGGTATAAGGCTATGACTAATTAAAGCATGCTCTAGAATAAAATGAGTCATCTTTGAACACAGAAGACCACAGCTGGCAAGAAAGCTGAACACGGAGGAGCTACATTGCTTGACCTGTGTATTGGGTGTATCCAAGAGGATCTCTGATTGCTTTTGAGAGATGAACATTTTGGGCCTGATAAGTCTTTCCACTCCTTTAAAAATGAGCACAAAGAGCATTTTTCTAAAGTGTCTTGTTAGATTAGGAAACATAGTTTGATATCAAACAAACCCTTGGTCTTTGTGCACTACAGGAATCATGATTGATGGCTAGGGGAGGGTAGATGATTTCATAACAGAATTTGAAGGTAATCTGAGTGTGAAAATGAGATTTTCCTCTGTACTCTCTGCAGTACAAATACAGAGAAGCCTTCCTGAGAGACAGAGGCCAGCAGATTGGATTCCTCAGTGCAAATGATGATCCCAAAATCAGACATGTCCTCAGAGTGGGGAAACTTCAGAGCGACATCCAATACAGGAGTGACTATGCCCAAAACAGGGCACAGTTCCAGAGTCACCTCAACCAGCCAGGATTCCTCCATGCCAAGAGAAGCCAACAGCTTGCAAGCAATGTTAACTACAGACAGCCTTTGCATCAATACACTTGTGATCCTGAGCAGCTGAATGTAAAACATGCAAAGCAGGCCTACAAGCTGCAGAGTGATGTAAGTATAGCTGAGCGACACGGTCCTTCCAAGAGCTAGGAGCTGTCTGTGACAATGAGCCTGGCAGACCTTACCTATCAACAAAATCACATTCTTGAAAGAACTACAGTCTGCTAGCTAAAAATGAGTAATTTGTTTATTATTGACTCTGTGGCTCTTTATATGCTCTCTCTTGAATACCCAAGGTGTGTGATTTGGTTAGAGCCCAACAAAATAATACACACTGGTGTATGTTTCACTCCCTCAGGTAAAATACAAGTCTGACTTGAACTGGCTCAGAGGCATTGGCTGGACTCCCCCAGGTTCTCACAAAGTCGAAATGGCAAGAAGAGCTGCTGAGTTGGCATACCTTCGGGAAATGGGATTGCAGGGTCCTTCTGCTCAGTATAGATCTGGAGTTGTAAGTAGAGTAAACCATTCTTCTCACAAATCCCAAATCTCTGCTCTCTACCTGCACACATCCTGTTTAATACTTTTCAGTGCTCTCCAGAGACTACGGTTCTCCCCATTGTTACAGAATATGTACACTCCCCTCATGAAGCTTTGTGGCTTAGTGCACATCTTAATTTGAAGGAATCTCTCAAGAGGATTCAGCAGTGTCATGGCTGAGGAATTCCTGTAGGGACTAGGAAGCACCACAGGATGGGGTTTATATGATGGGATGTGTTTCCTTCAGCTTGTGGTTGTTGTCAGATCTCCAAGTGTCCTGGTACCTTTGTGGAAAGCAGAAGTAGAGGTGGAAGGGACTCCCTGTACAACTCCCATTCTCTTTTCCTGATTTCAGCAAGACACTGTGTGTTGCCATGTAATTACATGTTGCCATGTAATCTCCACTGGCAACTGTAGTGACAAGCTGAGTAATGTAATGTGTGCTATGGGAGGATCCACAACACTGTGGGAGGCTTTTTTTTTGCAAAGGGGGTATGATCCAGCCTCCTCCACCTCTATCCAGCTCAAGATTCCAGAAGTTATGAGCTGGGATCTTCCAGGCTTTCCTTCTCCCCACCTCCACAGGGATGACTCCTCAGCACAAGAGAGCAGAAGTCCATATGGTGACCTTGTAGTCCTTACAGTTAGGAAGCATCAAATTGCAATAAAATAGAAGCATCGCACTTTTAGCATTTTTAACTTTGGCAACAAGTCAAACAATAAGCCAGCACAAGAGAAATGGGACATATCCATATTTTACATTCCCATCTGAAAAGTGACTCAGGAAATAAATTAAAACTGTGGTTGAGTAAAGCAGGCAGTGGGAACTACAGGCAATATCTTCTTAAGTCCTAGGTATGATAATGATCTGATGGTCCCAGGAAAACCTACAAGTGTGCAATCCATGTGGAACTCAGGTGTTTGCTGTTTGCTTTTTATTTAGGGCTCAAATTAGAAATTAGGACTTGAGCACATTTAGTCCTTTGGTACGTGTCTGGTATCTAACTTACATGAACAGGTCCATTTTTTGCACTTCTCTACTGCAGAAATTCACCCAGTGGAGATCAATGATGTAGATTTTGCTCATTGTGGTAATTTTCAATATGCAAATATTTTTATAGAATGATAGTTAAAAGCTTCTTCTGTCCACTGTGTGGTTTCACAGTTGTTTCGGGTGTGATTTTACAGGACCAGTTGGAGACAGAAGGATCTCAGCAAGGAGCAGTCAACCCTGATGCTTCAGAAATTCTGCAAGTCAAGAGAAGGAAAATGCATCTGTATCAGAAGTAAACAGAAACATAACACAAATAGATTTTCCTCTTGTCCTGCAAATCCTGTAGCTTTTCCAGTTTTCAGGGAAACACAATAGATTGCGTCTAAGAACTTTCTGTTTTAAAAAGCAACCTAAACATTGCAATTTACAACCGATTGTTTCATTTTTGTGTGGATACTTCGTGATTTCTCACTGCATTGTATTACAAAGTTCTGCTATTTATTTAAAGCTGTAAATGAAGTTAGTACTAGGGGACTGGCAGGCTCAGCTTTTTACCATAGATGGTGGAATATGAAATAATTTGTAATGAATAAATCAGGTGAATCTTATTCTGTGCGTATAATTTTTGGAGATTTTTATGTTTGTGGATTATTGGCACCATTGACCTAAGGGAATACAAAAGAGAGATTCAGGTGGCTTAACAGATGAACGAGACAAAGGCCAGTGGGAGCAAAGTTATCACTGACTAGCCAAGGGCAGGCCTTCTAGGAGACATCAGGGAATTTGCTCCAGATTATCAAGATGTATTCAGATTGCCATTAGTTCTTCAGTCTTTTTCAAACCTTCTGAATCTTTTTCAAACCTTCTGAAGCAAAAAACACATAATTACTTTTTTTAGAAATTGTCTCAGTAGGGCTAGATGTTGATAGATTAGGTAGCTGCTTACAGAAGGTTGCAAACCCTGGAATTCACATGAGAGGGACATTGCTCTTTTAAGGAATTGACTCTTCACAAGCATGTCTATTCTTTATATCCTGATTTTAATACCAGTCTCTTGTTTTTCAAATTTCTGTGCAGAATCATTGGCCAAAAACTACACAATTTGACATGCAAAACTTGTGAAAATCCCAAGATTATCCAATAGCTTTAGACCCAGATTTTTTAATGGCATTTAGTACTTGCTATGTCTCACTGGTCTTGTCATGCACATATATACACCACTGTAGATCTGGAGCATAATAACTAATTATCCTCTATTCAGGAAGAGTGGAGAATTCTAATATTGTAAGTTTTGTTGGTTTTCCATTCTGGAATACATCACTGATGGAATTTGTGGTTATTTGCCCTACATAAATATTTTCAAAAATAATTTTCCTGCCTGACCTTCCCTCCTCAGATAATTCCAATGGCTGTTGTCTTGCAAACATAGGCACATGGTGATTTTAATGTATGGGAAGAGTGGTACTGGCTTTAAGAGCACACATCAATTGCTTTGAGGTGTCAGGGTCCAATGAGTGCAGAAAAAATACACCTTAGACAGGCACATGAGGGCAGAGGGAGTAGCTGAGCCTATAGAATTTTCATGGCTTGAAAAACAGAGCTAGAAACATTGGTATCAGGTGCTCTGATTTATTTGGGGAAGAACTGGAGTAGCTTTACTTCCTGATCTGTTTTGCTGCAAAATGTGGGCTTATTTCAAAGACCGCAACATAAAAACTGTCACTGACATTCTAGAAAACACTCTAAGACTATTTTCAAGCTGGTGATGATGGATTTCCCATGTAGGCCATGAGAAAATATCGGTAATGTTTTTGGTCAAAGAGGAGGAATTTGAGGAATTGATAAACATAGTAAATATCTCAAGCTTACCATTTGTCATTCCAAAGCTCTCCCCTAAGGACGGGACCTCGACTCAGGCTGAATTTTAGTTTCAATCCAGTGGAGAAATTCTGTCACCTGGGTATAAACTCCTGGCTTGTTTTTCAGCCCGCACCCCTCGCCCCAGCTCACCAGGCCATATACATAGGAAGTGCCATTTTTCACACATGTTAGTGGGCCTCCAGAGTCTCCCTGAGGAAGGAAACACATATTCAAAACACGAAGCAAAATGTGAATCAAATCAGAATGCTGCTCTCTCATCATAAGACTGTGATGCTGCAATTATGTATTTTTCCGATCAGATCTACCATCAATTACTGCTTAGTCCCTGAGGAGACTTGCAGTTCTGGAACCAGGTGAAATGGTACCAAACTTTTTGTTTGCTTCAATCTGTGGCATATATTTGACAAGGTCACATGAAATTTCCCCTTTCTGAAAGTACCAGGTATTCAGAGCCTGAACTCAGAAAGATGTGATTCCTGGCACACATGAAAACTCTATCTGTCCCACACCCCTCAAAATAACCTTATTCTGAGTTGGTCAGTCTCTCTTTCTGTTTTAATTGTATTTAATTTTATTGCAAGGTGGTAGCTTGCACCTTAGAAAGTGCTGTTCAAACTCTTCCCTACATTTCAGTGGTATAACTATGAATGTGTTTCCCATTTGCATTAACTGTAACAAAAAGAAACATCAATACTGATTCCCTGCAAGTCTTAGCTCTGATAGCGAAAATCAGATTAGAATTAGTGCTCATGGAAAAGACGATAATAAAACTGAGAAAAAAATGCAAGTTTTCAGGCTATTATGACAAACTTTCCAGGCTAGTCTCTAGCTTCCATACATCTGTCTGTAGAGGACAGTGACAATTATAGCTTTAGGGATGTACACTGCAAAGTGTGCTGAAGAAAGGCTGTTGAAATGCACTGATGGGAGAAGCAGATACATATGCAGCACCCTGCCAAAGCTATTACTTTGCACATCCTGACTCTTTACACAAAAAAATTAGTATACTTTGCACATCCTGACTCTTTACACACAAAAAAATTAGTGTTCAAATAGAGAAAAAGCAACAGACCTGGCAAGAATCAACTCCGCCTTTCTTAAGTCTTCCTGCACAAAACATGGTTCTATCCAGTCTGTTACCATGTACTTCAGAGTCACTGCATTTCTTCTGTGAAATCAGCTTGACATTGGCATCTAACAGCTGATGGGGTTGTTCATCTATGGGATGTGCACCAAAAAAATGGAGTCACTTTCCTCCCAATCCTGTTACATGTTGTCTTTATTCAAAACATGAGCTTGCTTGCCATATGGATGGGACAGGGGAAGAGCAGGGGAGATGAATGTGCAAGCCTGGGAAGAAAAGAACGGTCTTTCTGAAATGATAAGGGTTAGAGCTGGAGCTTGGAAGTTTCACTCAGGACACTAAGTTGTTGCCTGAATGAAAGTGAAGCCAGGTAGCCAGAATTTGGCTCAAATCAGCTCTATCTGTGTAATCCTCCTTCCAAGGTGCTGGTTCTCCACAGCTCCTACACGTCCCCATGGGACTTCGAGCTGCTCAGCACTTCTCAGACTGGTGCCATTAGATGTTTTAACATGCAAGCTAATGAAACAGATGAAAACTGAAAATCATGCAATATTTAAGGGCAATGATTAATTACAGTGAATCTAAAGACATAATTTGACATCTAAAGGCAATAGCCAGAGTTTCAAAGCACTACATCTGTAGATAATTAGAGGTGGTTTATAAGTTTGGTTCTGCTTGAGTTTCAGGAAATATTCCATTTCTGCAGTGATTTCCTGAAATGCTAATAATAGCTCTGCTCAAAGAAGGAGCTATCTAGTTTAAACACGTACTGGGCACTTGATATTCTTTGCTGGGAAAAAAAAGTTAAAATTCCCTGTACCCTTTTTAAGAAAGACTTTTTATTTGGAACTTTTAAAAAATGTCCATTAAATTCTGTTGGTGCATTCTGATCAAATGAACACGCTTGTCTCTTGTGGACTTCAATGAGAGTTACATCAGAAGGGAGAATTTGGTCCTATGTATCGTATCAGGCTGTATCAGTCACAAAGCACTAGGACACCTACTGCAGTCTCAGTGACACATTTTCCTTCTGCTGCTTTACAGCAACACATCAATCAGAACATGAGAAAATGCATTTTTCAGAAAATTGCCATTATCTTTTTTTAAGCATAGTAATTCCTCCCCTTAGGATTTACCACGGGCAAGAAAGGTTTTGGATAGAGCTGGTTGAACATGAAAAGCTTTGGATTTTTTTTTTTTTTCATATTTTTCAGTACATCTGAAGATCCAGATTCTGCTTCTGAAAAGCTTTATCTGACCCAATGGGCTGGAAAACCATGTGAAAGTTCCCATCTTTCTTGGTCTTGTCTTGAAACACACAGACTGTACAATAAGCTCTCTTGATACCTTCTTGCTTCTGTTGCTGGCCCCAGATGAAACCATGACATGGTGAGTTAGATGGCAAGCAAAAAAATACATCCGGATTTTTTTCAGAACTCTGAAAGGTTTGGTTGGTCTAGCAGTTGGAGATTTCCGCTAATGAGTAATTTCCATGGCAGGTTTTTGTTGTCCTTACTTTTGAATTCCATGTCTTGGTTTCACTAAAGCCTAGGTCCGTATTTGGGTTTGGCAATTACTACTGAAAGCACCATCTCACCTTGCCACTGAAGTACCCACCAAAATCCAGCTGGCCCACAAATACCTGTCTCTGTCTGACCCCATCCAGAAATGAAGCAGTTAGTCCCAGGCTCAAAGATGTCATCAGGGAGACACGATGTTTTCACATACTTTGTTTCCAGTGCACAGTGACCATCAACTGGCTTCAGTTTAATCAGTGCTGGAGATGAGATAAACAACAGTGAAAAGTTTTTGGAGCTAATTTTAAACCCTAACCAATGTTGCCAGTCTGTGACACAACCCTGCGCAAAGCTGCATATACCCACTGTGCCATTTGCAGTACCTGCTGGACCTGTCACCGTCGTTTTGCTGCTTCTACACAGACTCCTGCCTGACCAATCACAATTTACATCCCAAAGACTCAAATGGCTCTAGATCACAATTTGGCCTAATTATTTCCAGAGGATAGTCTCAATGAGAATTTTACACTGACTTCAGTAGGAGGGAGGTGCCTCAGACAACTGAGGTTGGAGGTGAGCCACATGATTCTTCAAGAAAAGGGTTTTACCAATATCATTGTGTGGAACATCATTCTCCTCATTGTATTTATTATGTACAATGGTTTGTTCCACATCAAATATTTGCTCTTGAGCCTCTCTCTTCTTGAGGTTTTGCTTTCCAAGGGCTACTTGGATCTTTGATGAATTTTCTGTGTTACTGAAAGAAAAAGAAGAAAAGGAAAAAAGAAAAGAAAGGTAAATTACATACAGACATTGTCTATCAGTCGTGGTGGAAACCTGCATTTATAGTATCTGGAAGTCAAGATATTCCTTCCTGTTGCAGAGCATGGTCAGGAGATTTCCTAAGATCATTATAGGAAGGCTTAGAGAAGAAGTGGTGTTGGACAATACATGTGCTCTCAACTTGTTGCAATCATGAAATAAAGTTGCATGTACATGGTTTCCTTTGCATTTTAGGGCAGAGTAGCAGTGTGCATAGAGTCTATTACTGTGTCTGTGACTACAAGTGGCAACTCATGGAGCCATGGGAGTACAATCGCTTGCCACTGTTTGGACATGCTTAAATTCACCTGTGTTGGAATGATCTCCAGAGTGTAGTTTACCTGTTTCCTGGGGTGGTGGTTTCCAACCTATTCAATAAAAATATTGAAGGAAATGTAATAGTCTAAGCTACCTACACAGAAAGAATTGAAAGCAAAATGCATATTTTGGCTGTTCTGGAGAACTTAATTCTGATGCAACATGTGATACTACTTATGGTATCCCAATATGCCCCAAATTTTTCATAGAATTCTTCTTTCGTACAATGCAAAATCTTGTTACTTTGCTTCTTTTTTTTCCCCTCACACAACCATTTTATGTCATTTTAGGTGAGCGGAGACTAAGTTTCTTATTCCAGCAAGCACCATTTTCAAGTATAGAAACATTTTTATGTATATGTTCATTTTTTCACGTATATGTTCTCCTTCCAATTTGATTCCCAGCAATCATTTTGATTGCAAATAATTTGGATTTCAAGCTGTCCTTACTAACCATCCTGGTTTTTATAGTTTTAACTACCCGAGGAGTAGGGCATGCACCTACATAATGCAGTGCCCAGCAGTAAGAACCCAGCATGATTTAATTAGCACTCCACCACAGAAATGTTGACTCCCATGTGCATTCTTCATCTGCAGAGATGCCATCCAAGGGTGTTTGCCAGCTGTAGTCTTGGCTCCACCATGGATCCTCTTGAGTGCCCCATGAACTTCTGGTTTTCCACATGTTTGGAACATTTGATTTGATTCAGGTGGGTCTCTTGGGCTCTCTTTAACTGTGTTGGAAGAGACAGCAGATGCATAATGCAGAGATGATATCGGGCTGAAAGAGTTCAGCAACAGTGAGTCACCTGCTGCTCTGGACCACCTACCTGCTGCCAAATGTCTCACTTCTAGTTCTTCACCTGTTTCTGAGCAAGGTGAAACATCACAGAATTCCCAATCCACTTCATTATTTTTTCTGATGTAGCACCAGGGTTTTTCATCCCCATCAGGATTCCTGAAGGGAACAGTTGAGAGAATCAGCCAGTAGGAATGGAGAATTCTCCACAAAACCAGTGAAGGAGCTGAGGATACATAGGGGAGCAGCCTCATGCTCCCCTACGAGAGCTGAACTGCCATAGATACTCTTTCATAAGATTTGACAAAGAAGATGCCTGAGATGCAGAGGGGGCTTCTGCCATATTACTCTGCCCATACCTATCTTAACCAGAAGAAAAATGTGGGACTGGTTCAAAGAAGAGGGCTGCTTCTGGAAGCCTCACATCTGTGTAGTTAGAGAAGGCATCTCTAACATTCTGGTGTTTTATAGACAGGCAGTGTATAGAAATATGTGACATCTTAAACACCATGAATTTGCTAAATTCATGAGCAATTTGTCCTCAGTGGCCTCTTTGATACAGATCTCTACAGTTGCTTATTCAAAATATTACCTGCAGAAGTTGTGGTCACCAATGCCATAAGAGTCAGCATCCTCCATAAAGGCATTAAAAGAGGAGTCCAAGAGACGGTGGGAATTCCAGTGCAGGCAGGTATGGCCATTTACTGCTTGGTTCACTCTTCCTCTGTACCCAGAGGAGTCCTCTTTATAACAATCAGTTGGTTCTGTAGGAAGAAAATGCTCGCATGAAAATTACTTTTGTGTTGTTCTTTGCCCAGACTGGTTCCATTTCCTTCCCTTCCTTGTCCCATGTTCATTTTATAGAAGAACCTACCGGGCCAAGTAATTATATTCCTCATTGTACAGAGGTGTAAATTAAGAGTATTGTCCTGACATCTGTCCATGTTGTAGCCTGATTGGCTTCAAATGCCTAAAGCCTCTTAGCTTGGTAAAGGGAAGGAAACAGATCCTTAGAAACCTGTGTGGGGTGTGGTGCCCATGGTGATGCTGCAGAAGCTCCATGCAGCAGTCTGGGGTAATCACTTGCCTTTGGCCACCAACCAGAAGCAGTCCCCTCAGCCTGGGGAGTCACAGGCAACTGGGCATGAATCTTCACTACATCAGATTTTGAGTGTTTAAGGAAAACCTGACATTTCTTCCCCAGGTGAAAGGTGCAACCTCTGAAAAATGTATATATATGTAATATACTAGTGGGACCTTGCCAAGTCACGCTTAGAAACCACCAGTATGGGAACTGTTTCAAGTCCCTCTGACAACAGTGGCTGCAGCATCTTCCTCCGACACTCTCCCCAAGGAGCCTGGTGCCCCAGGTGTAATCAGGCACTTGGAGCAGTGACAGCACCAGTTAGCCTGGCTGCAGGGTGAAGCTAGCCCCTGGCTGTCTGGAGGCTTTGCCCCTTCCCCCTCCTTTGCAGCTGTGACATACTGATCTCGCAGAATCTCCCTCTGAAAGGTACAGGGCAGTCGCAGGTGAATTTTGATCTGTTTCTGTGCCGTCTGCAGGTACCTCCATTTTTGCAAGGGTTTGGGCTGCACTGTTTAGATGCTGTCAATGTGGAAAAACACAGAAAAGCCTTGTCACTCTTCTGAATGCTATACAGTCACTCACATGCCTGATGGAAACTGGTTGAGCTCCCCCTTAGCCTGTTGTCTTACAGTTCTTATGAACTCTTGAAACGTGCTTGTCACTGGGAGTTTTACCAGTGACTGAACTACCACCCTCCAAATTGAGCAGAACTCATCACTGGCCAGACCCCTGGATGGGAGCTGCAGGAGTCTCAGACCTCCTGGCTAGGGCAGGACCACCCTCTGCAGTGGGCTGCATGTGGTTTCCCACCTCAGAGCAGCCACAGTGCTGTCCCCACCACAACTTGCTCAGTGCCCTGCTGAGTGCTCACCGTGTTTGCAGTTGGGTGTCTTGTAGGGATGCTTGCAGCTGCACCGAAAGTAAGGTGGGGTTAGTGTAATCAGGCAGTCACCAGTGCGGCAGCTCTTACTCGGGCACATGTCCTTCACTGTGCAAAACAGGGAGACAAAGTACTTTATCAGCATTTGTGTGTGCTCAAGAGCTGTGCCCTTGCAGGGATCGTGGGAAAATGCTTTCTCCTGATGCTCTAAGGAAGCTTTCATTTGGCAAGTGTGGTGTTAAGATTTCCCTTCTTGTTCATGGTATCTATGGCAAAAATTCTGTGTTACCAATGAGCAGCTCCCCACTGCCCACCTAGCAGGGGATAGAGAAGAACAATATGCACTCCTGAAGTCTATTTTGCTGAATGCTGTTCAGGCAGACCTTAGTCTGGACAAGGTGCTAAGTGTGAGACCTATGAACCTGACTGCTGTGGGCTGTAAGAACTCTCAGCAGAGCAAACAATGAGTTCATAAAGCTGTAACAGTAACATTAGCTGCCAAAATAAGGAGTATAGGTTAGAAAAGAGCCATTACCTTTTTCGCATGTAGTCCCAGCATATGGCTTGGGGCAGACGCAGCTGAAGTCTCTTCCTTTGGCTTCACATCTACCACCGTTCTTGCAGGGGTTGGAGGAGCATGGGTCTGCAGTGGTAAGGATGGAGATCTTATACTTTCAGCTTCTCAACCTTCATCACCTGCTTTTTCTTTTTGTGTTTTCTGACTGCAGAAGGCTGCTTTCCTGGGCATGGCATCCCGTGGAACGTGTACGGTGCTTATGCATCAGCTCAGCAGCCACAGGAGCAGTATGAATTGCTGCAGAGTTTATTGCAAGGTGTAACAGCTCTTGGCTTTGGGTCTGGAGCTCCACTCCCTTTGCCATGTCTATGATGGAGCTGTAATGGGGCAAGACCCTTCTTTTGCTCAGAAATAGATTTGCCTCTATGGCATTGCTTCTGGCTGTCTGCCTTCATGCACTTAGTCTGGAGGTATCTGGATTTCTCATTGTCCTGACTGGAACATGGCACTAAATCTCCCTTGGAAAAGCCACCCACCACCATTAGACTCTAAAATACCCCTGGGTGGCTGCCTCTTCAAGGGAGCAGGCACCTGCTGAGAGTCACTTGTGCACTACTCCTTACACCATGCTCAACCTCTCCACTGCAGACCAGTCTGCCAGAAGCAATTGGCATTGGGCACAGCCAAATGTCAGCTCTGCTTTCTTTGTGGTAGGGGGTAACTCAGGGAGTGTAACAGGCAACTTCCCTGTCTCTCCTTTTGTGTTCCCTGAGCAATCTCAAGGATCCTTTCCTGTTCTCCTGAAGTTTGGCAAAACAGAGAAAGAAAAGAAAAAACCTTGCAACTGATAAAAGAGATAGAAAAAAAAAAAAGAAACCTGCTCTACATTTGGTTCTCAGCATAAATACAGAACATATATCCCATGAAAACAGCAATTACATCTTACAGTATCTATAGACAAATAAGTCTGTGCTTTTTTGTAGTAGCAATCAGAAATGTTCTGCATGATCAGAATCCATCCTGTGAAACCTGGAGATAAAACACAGGCTCCTTACAAGAGAAATACAAAGGAGAACACTGCAAAAGATCCTCCTAACTCATCCCTTTGATGCAGGCATTTCGAGAGCAGGCTGGCAGCCGAGGCCTGCCACGCTCACACTGCAAGCACAGGGTTGGGATTTTACCCCTTCCTTGCCTCCTTGCCCACTCCCCAGAAGTACCTTTCCCAGCATAGCTGTCACCTAAAGATGGTTCGAACCAGTCAAAGTCCTCCCAGGACAGTGAATGGAGGGGTTCCTGCTCCGGTTCTGTGTACTCATAATAGTTTTCGTTGTAATCAGCATCATCTGCAGGGAAGGGTGAGAAGAGAGTGAAAGAACTGAGGAATTAAAACTGCTAGAAGGAGACAAGGTATGAAGGATGTTATTCCCTGAGATGGACAGTCTTTTTCTCTTTCAGCTCGTTTGGGATGTTAGTAGGTCTGGACCTTACATCATCTTGAGGACCAAAGGTGCCATTCAGCTCTTCCTTGGCATGGGCAGAGCCCATGGCCACCATGACCCCAGTGCTACCCTCCCTGATGCTCCTGGAGGGTGTTAGAGCCCTGGCTGCTCAGCCACCTTCTGCAGTGGCAGTTGGGATGCCCCAGAGGGGAGGCAGGCATGGGTATAAGAAGCCCCCTATGTGGCACCACAGCCAGGAAAGATTCTGAGACTGGTGCTAGCACAGTGAGGAAAGGAGATTCCTATGAGAAAAAGGGGGTTTCTTTGTCCAGCTTCTTTGACCACCAGCATCACTGCTGCTGCAGCATGAGGCAAGACCCTCCTCAGCAAGCAGGTGCCTGCTGCATGCAGAAACACACAGAGTGCCTTTTCGAGGGCAGTCAGGGGGGGCCTGAAGAAGTGGCCCAAGCCACATGCACATCTGTGCAACTCCTTGCCCAGAAAACCCGCTTTGAGGAGCAAGGACCTGGTGCAGCAGGCAGGTGCTAAAAAGCCCATCCTTGCCTCTGCCAGCCTGCAGCCCCCAGAAGCTCCCCAGTGTCCTCATGGGAGCCAGCTGGGACACACAGCTTCCCCAGCTGTGTTGGGGGGGTCATTTGATTAAAGTGGGCTGGCAGCTCCTTGCACAGGTTTGGCTGCTGCCGGTGGAAACCACTCCAGTGTTTCAAAGACAAGCTATGGTAATGAGCAAAGCTAAGCTACATACAGAGACATTTTAAAAAGCTCTCCCCTAGGGCTGGACCGATGGCCCCATGGATAATGCTCTTCCTTGAACTGATTATCGACTGCATTATCTTAGTTTTCTCTCCTCATTCATTTGCTTGCAGCCTTTATCTTTATTCTTTCTTTGCTTCTGAAAAAGAAATTCCACGTTTGTACAATGGGTGTTTTATATTTCATATTAAAATAGAACTGTCTTTTTTTCTTCTTTTTTTTTCAACATGCCAAGTCTTATTTCTCACCAAAAAAAAAAAAAAAGAGGAAAGTTTCACCTCATTTATTGCTATGCCAAGTCAAGTCTCCTTTTCCTCAGCTCATTATTTCCACAGGAGACGAGTCTCAACTATGTGCAAGTGTTGCAGAAGTGTGTGCCTTGCTAAGGAACAGAAGGATCTCGCTGGAAGATAAGGATATTGTCTACAGTGAACAAAATTAAATTTAATGTGATGTAGTTAAAAAAGAAAAACAAAAAGGAAGTTTTGCCTGAAATGCAGCCTGCAAGTTCACTTTGTTGGAAGGGAGATTTTGCAAACAACTTAAGTTTGAGGGAACTGTCTAAAGGAGTCTGATTTTGTTTCCCCTGTTTATTTTCAGAATCTTAGTGGGGCATGTTGGCTTTTATTCCACAGATACTTTAAAGAAGTGTTCTGAGGGATAGGGTAGCCCTTTTAATGGAAAAATATACCTGCTAAAAGTTATGAAGGATGAACAGGGGAGTTACAGCTGCCAAAAAGCAAACATGCCCAGTATGCTTTGGAGATGTTGGTGAGGACTCTCTTGAATCAACAGAGGAAAAAGTACCTTGAATGAGCACAAATAGACAAGTCATTCTAGAACTATCTACCCTGTTTTTTAAAACAACTGCTCAGTGCATGTATGGTGTTAAGAAATTACACTATTGTCACTTGATTTTGCTAGTTTGACATAATTTCTTAGCAATGGATTAGTTGTCTCTTAATCACACTTGTAAAATTATTTGTTGACCCATTATGGACTATTTTTAAGAGCATCTCTGAGGTAAAACCCAAGTTGGTCAAGATGCAGTTTGTGTTTTGCAGGGCATTTGTGTCTGGTGGTTCAGAGAGGTGGAGGAGCACAACCCCTCATTTGCACTGGCAGGGCAGTTTTGGGACAGGCTAGTGCACACCCAAGGCCAGTTTGGCATCCAGCAGCCCTTGAGGAGGACAACTTCAGGTAGCCAAGTCTGAGGTCAAGATGGCAGCACTGAGCAAACCCCTCATGGGCTGACAATTACCATTTCAAGAAACTTTATGACCAAGCCATGGAGTTAAGAGTGCATGTGGAAAGAAAACATCAGCAAACCCTTTTGGGTACCCTGGCCCCCATGTAGGTAGAAAGCATTGGGAAGCTGAGCTGACTGGCTGGGAGACCAGCCAAGGTGTCCTGAGAGTGCAGCAGATGAGTGTCCCTGCTTTCTCCATCACCATCCCTCTTTGTGAAACTGTGAAACAGATATAGCTTCTAGAGGTCACATGAGTGATAATTCCCATCTCCCAGCTACTCTGTGTCCTCCCCAGCTGCACAAAGCAGTGAAATACAAAGACCAGAAAACCCTGACTTGGGGTATGTGACATCAAATTAAAAGATGTCTTCTTATTTATCACTGCTTTGACACTAAATAACTATTTGGCTTCCACATCTCTTATTTAAGAAGTGCTCCCATTCCATTATTTTAAATTATTCATAACAAGTCATAGGTTTAGTAAAGCAAAAATCCCTTTTTTTTATCTGAGCACATAATTAACGCATAAAGTCTGATACACTGGTTGATTTAAACATATTACTAAATCAGAGCATTCATTTTTTGTAAGTGCTGGAAAACCTTAACATGCTTAAAAAAGCCAGTGATCTGACATTTGTCACAAATGTGACTATTACATGAAATTAAATTAGACATCCTGCATGCAAATTTTCAAAGAATAACTTTCCTCTGTGTAGTACAAAAAATCCCCCCATAATTGATAGACAGAGATTGACTTTTAAAGCTTCAAATCAGCTTTGAGGTCTGGGTGATCTTTTAAACTGCTCAAGCTTTCATCTGCAGTTTTTCACATTGCTAAGAGCTGTCAATCAAGCAATGGATTTCTGATCAATATCCCCTTGCTCATTAGCTTACATGGGCTCTCTGTTACAGAGAGAACAGATATCCCAACGCCGACAGTCACACTGTTTTCAAAACCTTCACTGGATCAAGTCATGACTAATGTTTCGAGTGGGAAAATGATGCATTAGGATGCCATCGGGTGACCTGAATTGCGAGGTAACTTTGTTGGACTGCAGTTGTCAAGATGAGTGATGTGCAGAGTTAAAGCCTATTGCCAACGCACATCAAGAGCGCCAGAAAGTACCCAGCGTTTATTCAAGCTCTCTGAATCTCTGGGGATTGACTGAAATCTGGCCTAATTTAAGCAGGATGAGTTTTTCTACCACCTTTCTAAATACTTTTTGTCTCCGGTTCTGAGAATAATGTAGTGTTATTCTTGTGAGGCTGAAATCCTGACTGTATTTTGAATAATGAGATGTTCCCCATCTACTTCTGCAGAGATGAGACCTCATGGTATTTCCTCCCTTCTCCATGGGCTGTGGCTGGGAGTATCTGCAGCTTCAGGAAGAAGAGACCAGCTAACAGCAAAGCCAGCAAACCTTTCAAATAGTTTTGTGGCTGTTATTTAAAAGCAGTTTTGCAGCACCTTTTCCCTCATTGAGGGATGCTGGGCCTATGATGATGGCTGAAGGTGTGGAGAATTGCAGGAGCATGGGGAGTGGGAGAGTATAGGGATGATGGAGGGACAGATATAAGGACCATACAGTATAAGGGAGGGAATGAATCGAGAAATTGTGAAAGGGATATCCTACCATCAAAAGGCAAATTAAGCACTTTGCACAAGGCTGCAAACGTGTGTAAACGAAGTCTGTAAACCCTGAAGCCAAGTGCATGACTGCGGCCAAATATTTGCAGAAGTCACTGAGCTCAGATGCACAAATGATTTGGAAATTTGTTTTCTACACACATATTGTTAGAACGGCAACATTAATTTGGGGAAAGCAGCACTGCTGTATGAGCTACAAGGCTTTTGGGCTTGCAGGTTTGACTTGAAAGCCAAAATACCACTGGAATGAACAGGAATGTAGATGAATAAAGAGCACATAATAAAAGCCATACTCTTTTTCTGCAGGGACATGAGGAAAATTAATGTAATACTCCATTAGCTATAAATTACAAACTCAGATCTGAGAGCCACTGAAATGAAGAAAAGGAGGAACAGAGCTTACCTGCAAAAATACTAAACTTATCAATAAAACCATAATCTTCTACATGGGCCAAGTAGGCTGTGAAAGGATGTACAAATCCTCATGCAATCTACACATCCTCACACGACATTTATCACAGCTTTTCCCTTATCAACATCTTAATGCTACGTAGCCTGTAATGATTTTTTTACTTGCATGGGCTTGTAAACACTTTTTGAATCTTCTTGCACTTTGGATAAAACCTTGCAGAAATAAGTTCCACGGTTAGTTGTATGCTGTGAGGGAAAATCAGATTTCATTTATTTGACCTTCAGTTTTCATTCACAACTAGGCTCTTTGCTTATCCTTCTGTGAGGTTTGCAACCCACCACCATGTCCTCTCCTCCAGCCCATGACCCATGGTGTCACCCATAGGTCTCCAAGCCACGTGAAGGCACAGAGTGGCAAAAAAGTCCTGGCTTGGAACAGAACTATGAGTTGCAGGTGTCGTCTAGGAGAACCCCATGATCAACTGCACATTGGTACTACTGCTGTACCTCTGTTTTGGGCTCCAGTGTGCCAAACACACTGCTGGCTGGGACATGATGAACTGCTGTCTCCTGCACTGACATAGAACACATGTGGAGGTCTAAAAGTGCTTATCCTATTACTTGTCCAAAGTGAAACAGACTTTCAACTTATTTTAAGCTCAGCAAGGCTGTGCATGAACTTTATAAAATTCAGCACTGGGCACTTGCAAAGGTTCTTGATGGACCAGGTTGCCAAGCCTTTCAGTTTTGTATGCAGAAGTTAAAATGAAGAAAGTGAAACTACTTACCGTTTATCAGGCTGGCCATGACTAAAGAAAAGGAGACCTGCATGAGATAATAAAGGGTAGAGGGTCAGTGCCTGGAAAAGCAAAAGCCAGCTTGGAGCTTTGCTTACAGCACAAAGTTTCTGTTTGCCCCTAGTGCTGGACATCCAGATAAGGTTGTTCCCCACTTTGGAGCTAACTGGGCTGGATTTTAAGAGCTCTTTCAAAAGATTAACAAAATGTCAACAAGTCATGGGGGAGGTCTGGCCATTCTAAGCATACAAGCCCAAGCTGCTGTGCTGGTCTGCCCTGGGGAAAACCTGTCCTAAATGAATTAAATTGCCTCTTTCCTTATGAAGTGATGGTGCACTGGCTATTTGTCTAACTCTCTGAGATGCTGACAGGGGCCACACTCCAGCTGGCTGCTAAAGCTGGAGACTGGGAAATGCCTAGGCAGGACAGAGTGGAGGTCAGGCAGTGCAACATGCCCCAAGAGCCTATGCCTGGCATGGCCAGTGGGATCTGGACTCTGAGCAGGAAGGTTGTCAACAGCCTTTGGATGCAGGAGAATATTTCTGGCACTTTCCGTGAGGAAATGCCATGTGTCCAAGTTCCAACGTGGGGCTCCAGCCTTTCCTGTTTGGCTCATGATCAAGGGCAAGCAACAAAAGGGAATGGAAGAAGACGGAAAAGAGCTCTCAGCCTTTGAAGAGTGTGAGTGAGGTTTGTCTGAAAGGAGATGCCCTGACTTTACACCAGGATGCATACCCAGCGTGACAATTTCCATTTTCTTTCCCTCTTGCTCTAAATCCCAGCTGTGGACAGGATTACCTGTCTGTGATCAGGCTACACGTGCTAACAGTGGGTGTAAAGAAGGAGATTTGGAGCTGCTATTCTTCAACCCTCACATGTGATTTAACACACATAATAAAAACAGCATACAAACACATAAAATTATTATGTGCATCTATGCATTGTAACAGATACAATTAACTGTAAATATATGCCCTGTTTAGTTGTACATTAATATAAAGAAGAAATAAATGCTCAGATAATGCTGGTTGTGACTAAGAACAAATGACTCAGAAGCAACGAATAAAAAACAGGACAAAAAAAGCTCAGAATTCACATTTGTGAATATTATCTGGAATATATAAATGAGGTTTTGCTTCAGGCACGTTTGCGTCCCTCTTGTGTTTGAGCCAGGGAGAACAGACACTCCAGTTCTCCCTTTCCCACTGACTTTAATGAGAGCAATGTCCCCTGAACCACTCAGCAGAGCCCCTTCCCAGGTGCATTTAAGTGAGCCACACACATACAGAACTAAATCCTTTGCAGCTGGAAGGACACACATCCTCAAACAATCGCCCCTCCTGAATGAGTGCAGAGATGATGGTAAATGAGAAGGCTGTAAAAGCTCTGTCCTTGGTGTATATGTTTCTTGAGTGCAGGTACAGTGTTTGTCAGATCTCTTGCCAGACCCCAACGGAGACTATATAAAGCAAAGGTCTAATTGCTCCATTTACAATTAGTGGTAGTGTTCATCCATAAACACAGACCTAAACAAACCCTGCGAGTGTACTCCTTTCTTTTGGAGGAATAGATGAAACAAAGAACAAGGAAGCAGTAATGGGAGCAGGATGAAGCAAGTATCATTTCATCTCCCTCCCTAGTTCTCTGAGCTGCCCTGTTGTGCTGTTTGCCTGATGGGGTTGGAAAATGTTTGGGTTTGAAAGCTTTGGCTTTAGTGAGCTTGCCCCTGCACTCGGGGCAGCCCTTGGCACCCCAGGGGAATGCTGGAGAGTTCTAGTTCAGGCTGGGCGAGGTGCAGGATGTCACTGCATCATACTTTTCTGTGCCTCAGTTTCCCTAGCAGAGATGACAGTCTCACAATGTTCACACACCAAGAAAATAAGAAAGATGAGAGATGTAGCACTTTGCTAATGCACTTCCTTTTCCAGGTTGCCCCCCTGCCCCTCCTGTCCAAGCATAGACACAGCTGACTGCAAAAGGGCAGGTACCCTAAACTCCCTCTTGCAATCAACTGGTGCCCTAGACAATGTGGAGGTTTCCAGTAACGTCCTCCAGAGCAGGCAGTGGTCTGGACTGTGGGGTTGCTGAGTCCCAGATTTTGATTCCTGCCTCTATCTGCTGCCACAGCACAAGTGTTACTGGGAACAAAAGCTCTCGGAGCATCAGGCATGGAAAGTCCAAGAGTTAAACACAATCTTTACCATAGGGCTCCTCTATCTCGTTTTGTGCTGCAGCTTTCCATCCTCATGTGCCTGTCACAAGCCGCAGCAGCAGAGCCACAGAGGACAAACCCTCGGGTGGAGCTGACCTCTCAGCGTGGAGACTTTTCTCCTCCCTCCCTCGGTCCGCTGGACCACTTACCAGACCACACTGATTCTGATACATTTTTTCCCCTGGTAGGCAGCACACGCCCAAACTTTATCCTTTTGGCTCCTGGCATGAAGCTTGCTATGGTGGTGTGCAGAAGAGGAGGAGGAGGAGCTCACCTCCTTCCCTCCTGTCTGCTGGAGCTTACCCTTTCCTCCATGCCATGAGGGAATGTGGGATGCAGGACATGGGATGTGGGATGCAGGATGCAGGATGTGGGATGCAGTATGTTGGACATAGGATGCAGAAGAGGCTGTTAGGAGAGGTGCACAGGGTGGGGGCTGCAGGAGGGGGTGCAGACAGGGGCAGTGAACGCAGGGCCTCCTGCCTGCAGTGCCGTATTGCTCATGGCCAGCAGAGGAGGATCTTGTCCTTCCGACGAGGTGCAACACTGAGCCCAACGAGGAGCAGGATTCGAACAAAAGGAGGGTGTGGGGGAGAAGAAATTAGACTGTGGGGCTGGTCTCACCGAAGTCTCCTTGCTGCAGATCGACACTGATACTTTGCTCTCTTAAGAGGGTATAAAATCACTGGATCCTGTTCGTAGCAAGTCTGCAGAGATGAGGGACAACGCAGGAAGATTTTGCAGAGAGCAATTTTAAATCTCATTACTTTAGACTCATAAAAATAAATGCTCAAAAACAAAAGGGCACAAAAAATGCTAGTAGAGACATTTTATATGGGTACCAATGCATCGCTGATTGTGGTACTGATCACATTTATTGGGGTCCTAGAAAAAATAGTGGAAAAAATGGCTGAAATTCATAATATCCTAGTCTCACCTGACCTTTGTTGTCTGTCGTCATTGTAATGATTAGCACTTCACTGAAACTTCATTTCTCCAAAGAACCATCAAAATTTTGCTCAATAGACTGCATAGATTGCATACTGCAGATACATGATACTCTCAGTTTTTCCATTTCAGCTTCTCAAGGAAGAGAGACTAATGAAATGTAATAGATTTCAAATATGAATGCCAGAACCATGAGCTTTCTTGGTCTCAGGACAGAATTCTATGGCTCTTTCTCAGACAAAAGTGTCCAGTTAATCTCTGGCGATTCTCTCTGAATAAACCGGTGAAGATTTGACCCCAAATTCAAGGGAAATTATTTACAGTTGCCAAGGGCATTTTGCAGTTGGACTGTTTATTGTGTCTTGGGTATGTTGCTACGTCTTATTACAATCAAAATGAATAACTAAAACACAAGAGCAGGTGGAGAAAGAGAGCACAAAGGTGACAACCCAGAGTGATGCTGTGAATTTACATATGTGCAAACCACAAGTAATTCCAGAGAAAACAGTGTAGCTACTCAAGCTGGCATGACAGACTAGCAAGAGAGGTGAAAACTACCAGTACACATACACACACTTTGCAACAAAGCACTACAGGAGTTCAAACATTAAATTGCATTGGTAGGAATTGGCCTATTCACTTAATTGCATTAGGTCCTGCGATTTCTCCTACAACTTGTCATGAAGTGGCCTCTGCAGCAGAAAAACAAAGATTATGCTTTCATTTGTTCATCTGTGCAGTCACAGCTTTGCAGCCAGGAAGGAGGTGGGATAGGGTTGAACTGGAGAATGAAGATGGATATTTGATCAACTTCCATCCACAACTAACATAAGGCATGAAGGAGCCAGGAGGGCAGGCACAACTACTGCCTTCTCATAGTGAACCCCTTGATCCCGCTGACAGCTCTCAGTAGGAACCTTTGTCTGGGCTGCTTGCCAAAGGAGGAGGGAATTGACAGTTCAGATGCTCTTACAATCGGCCAGATTTTTGCCTGCAACCATCTTGGGTAGTGACAGTCTTTGAACTTCAAGGGAAAGTGGCTTTTCCAGCAATGACATTGTATTTCTCAGCCAAGGCCATGGTTGCAGTATAATGAAAGCAGGGCATATTATCATCTGGAGCACACATGCAACACATGTTGTATTTTTAGCCTGGGAAACCATTCTCTGAAAGGATTCCACCAAAACCTCTGAGTTCTTCACCTCTCTGCTAGCAAGACATCTCCTGCCTCCACACTAAACTGCAATGTGTGCCTCAGAGTAAGTGATGTGCTCCTTATTGACTGGTCCCAGGGTACCCAGAGAACCTCACATTTAAAGTCTTTATTTTGCTGATTATTTAGATGTGAAACTTTCCCATGGTACCACCTGATGCAAAACCTGCAGGCATCCAGGAAAAAAGCAAGAGCTCCCAGAGGTGTTGTTGAAATCAGTTTGGTTCTCTGCTCAGGAGTTACCTGCTCCTGTCCTCCAAGAGATCAAAGTTTCCAAATTAATCTTCGCGCTGTGAGAGATGGTCTGGTAGCAGCTGGCTGTTTTTAAAGCTGCTCACTGGTGAATGAGGTGTGCTCATTTTCCCAGGTGGAAAATGGGGTCAGCCTTGGATGCCACAGCAAGGGAAAGCTACAAAATCTGTGTCGGGGGACTGCAGGAGCTTGTCACACTAACACGAGTGTGCTGTGCTATCAAACGCTTCTGCAGCCAGGCCTGGGAATGCAGGTTATGCTGCTAGACTTAAAGCTTATGCAAAGTCATTAAGTCCCTTTAGTTACACGGGATATCAACCTGCATGCTTCAGGGCATAAGCTGATTGCCTTCGGGGGTCAGCGAGGAACACTTCCCTCTCTGAGA